TAGAATAGAATATCACGGTTGGAAGAGACCTCAGGAGGTCATCTAGTCCAACTGCCTGCTCAAAGCAAGACCAATCCCCAACTATTTTTTTTGCCCCAGATCCCTAAATGGCCCCCTCAAGGACTGAACTCACAACCCTGCGTTTAGCAGGCCAATGCTCAAACCACTGAGCTATCCCTCCCCCACAAGCTGCTCGGAGGGACTGCTGTGGATACTGCAGGCTGATCGGCACAGGAAAGAGAGGGGACTTCTGGCTGATTTATAAAAGCAGGCTTTATGGGCTTGTCTACACGGCCTCTGGGAGCGAGTGTCCCAGCCCTGGGCCACAGACTCACACTAGCGCTTTAAAAACAGCTGCAGACATGTTGCATTGACAATGTAGCTCGGGCTCTCAAGCCCACCCACCACCCTCGCCCGTGGCTTCAGAGCCTGTGTTCCAGCCTGAGCCATAGTGTCTACACAGCTATTTCTGATGCACTAGCAGGAGCCCAGCCCCGCCTGGGAGGCTCACTCCCAGATGCAGTGTAGACATGCCCAAGGAGGCTTACCGCAGTCTGGAACCATTCCTTCCTGACCCCTGTAGATTATCAATTTGAACCCTGAAGCCAGATACTGAATTAGACTTGTAAGCACTCTGGGGAAAGGGCTATCTTTTTGTTTGTGTAGCGCCTAGCACAGCGGGGTCCTGGTTTGTGCCTGGGGCTGCTAGGCTCTTATGACAATACAAATAATAATTAGAGTAGTTCTTAAACTCTGTGGTCAGCAGAGAGCTGGCTGGTCACATAAGGGTGGCTCTGCTCCTTGTTTCCAGCTGCCACATGGCACTGCGAGCTAAAAATCCATTAAATAATTTCCTTTCTCCGTCGCCTATGAAAGCAACTGCTGTAGTTGCCACAGGGATATTATAGGGGAGCGAGTGAGATGAGGGGTATCCACAAAACAGTCTCCCAAATGGGGCCCCTCTATGAGTTTGACCCCTTGGTTTGGCATGCACAATAGTGTGCCATCAACAGGCAGAACACTGAATCCAGACAACGTTTATCTGTGTCTAATGTTGACAAGAATGACACGTCCTCTCTCCTGTATCTCCTGGGTATCAGCAGTCTCAGGCCCTGCCAACCTGTGGATAGAGGAAAGGGTACAGAACCGGACTCAAACTACCACCTGCATGACACAACAAAGCACAGCAACAATTGCAGGGCGACCAAGCCAACCTATTCCAGTCTCCCAACAGAAAGAAGCCACATTCACGGCTCTGATTCAGCCATGAGGAAGCAGGACTTGCAACCGCCACATGAGACAGTGGCAACATTTGTGGGGTTCTCAAAAAGGATCAGTAGCATGGTTTCCTGCTGCGTAAATAGCACGTTTACCTATATGTGTAAGTGCTGGAAAATCAGAGACATCCACAGCTTCCCGGAGAAAGATTCAAAGTAATTCCGTCTCTGTTCTGGGGCCATCACAGAGCTCGTATGGTGTAGGAAGTCACAAAAACTCCTCATTGGGAATAACAGTGCAGCCTCTGTCTTAGTTTCTAGAAGTCAAAAACTGTCACAAAGGGTGGGTTAATATAGTAATTTGATCTGGTAGTTTTCAAACTGAAACACCTACTTAAAAATAGAAGCACTTTGCAGCTGTGATTTACAGGCATTACGTGCTAGGTGGTACACTAAAGAGGATTACACGTGCCATTTTTGGATCTGGCTTTCTTTCAAAAGAGTATTTTAGTAAAAAACAATTTGAGCCCTCTGGCGATAGGTTCACTAGACCCACTCAGCTTGATCAGTCCCTTCTGCTTGCTTCTTTGGCACTTGTTACTTATCTCTGCTAATTAGTTAATAAAAACCAAGCTTCTCCCTAGCTTTAAGGAAGACGGGAGCTCTGTGCCAGCTGCTAGGACTAGCATGCCTCTTCTGAAAACGAGTTACCTCAATTTAAATGAAATCTTCATCTTCAAAGTATCTCCAGCCATCATATACCTCGTTGCACTTCCACCAGAATAAATTTGCTTATTTATTTATATTTCCTCTGCCAGGTTGTCTCCCTGTTTAAGTACCTTGTTGAATTGGGGCCTAAAGCATGGAGATAGTCCCACTGAAGCCAATGGGACTACTCATGTAATTAGTTAGGTACATGCATAACTTCTTTGCTGAACTGGGGCGTCAATTTGTATCCGTCTGCCTTCAAGAGATACCCCACTGTCAATGAAGTGTCTGTTTTTTTTTCTTTTTTTTACAGAGTCTGAAAACAAAAAGAGAACTTCACAAGCAGCTTCCGAGTCTCATGAATTTCCCACACAAACACACGCTAGACTGTTACTCATGGCATAATTACATGGATAAATTCTAAATCTGCATTACAGACTTCATGCAGCTTTAACTCCTGTAATAATTTCTAATCACACAATGATCCTTAAACAAAGCATATAAGATTGGTGTGAAGACAAACGTACTCAGTTAAATCTTAATACAAATCAGTTCTGAGCCTCAGGCTATGGGATGTAGTAATGCAATGTAGCCAGTATCTTCAGGTCATGAATTTCAAGAGAGGCAGATTATCCTATCCATCTTTGTACATCTGCCTTATAATGTGATTTAATTATTCCAGTAGTGGAGGACAGGAGAGGCAACAGTAAGCCTCTGAAAGGGAGCAATTTATGAAAACCTCATTTTCACCAGCTAAAAAGTGAAACTATCAGGTTAAAAACCATAAGTGACATAAGAACATAAGAGTGACCACACTGGGTCAGACCAAAGGTCCATCTAGCCCAGTATTCTGTCTTCTGACAGTGGCCAATGCCAGGTGCCCCAGAGGGAATGAGCAGAACAGGGAATCATCAAGTGATCCATCCCATCACCCAGTCCCAGCTTCTGGCAAACAGGCGAGGGACACCATCCCTGCCCATCCTGGTTAATAGCTATCGATGGACCCTCCATGAATTTATCTAGTTCTTTTTTGAACCCTGTTATAATCTTGGCCTTCACAACATCCTCTGGCAAGGAGTTCCACAGAATGGCTGTCGTTGTGTGAAAAAAATATTTCCTTTTGTTTTAAACCAACTGCTCATTAATTTCATTTTGTGACCCCTAGTTATTGTGTGATGAGTAAATAACACGTCCTTATTTACTTTCTCCACACCAGTCATGATTTTATAGAACTCTATCATATCCCCCCCTTAGTCGTCTCTTTTCCAAGCTGAAAAGTCCCAGTCTTATTAATCTCTCCTCATACGGAAGCCGTTCCATACTCGTAATAATTTTTGTTGCCCTTTTCTGAACCTTTTTCAATTCCAATATATCTTTTTTGAGATGGGGCGACCACATCTGCACACAGTATTCAAGATTTTATAGAGGCAATATGATATTTTCTGTTGTATTATCTCTCCCTTTCTTAATTATTTCCAACATTCTGTTTGCTTTTTTGACGGCCACTGCACATTGAGCGGATGTTTTCAGAGAACTCTCCACAGTGACTCCAATATCTCTTTCTTGAGTGGTAACAGCTAATTTAGACCCCATCATTTTATATGTATAGTTGGGATTATGTTTTCCAATGTACTTTACTTTGAATTTATCAACACTGAATTTCATCTGCCATTTTGTTGCCCAGTCACGCAGTTTTGAGAGATCCTTTTGTAGCTCTTCGCAGTCTACCTGGGACTTAGCTATCTTGAGTACTTTTGTAACATCTGCAAATTTTGCCACCTCATTTTTTGCCCCTTTTCCCAGATCATTTATGAATCTGTTGAATAGGACTGGTCCCAGTACAGACTTCTGGGGGACACCGCTATTTACCTCTCTCCATTCTGAAAACTGACCAACTTTCTTTCCCTGCACTATCAACAATCCTTCTAATTTTTTGAAGAAAAAGTTTCACAAATCTGGTTCACGTTTTCCCATTGACACTATGTATAACTTTGTATTTCATTCAGCTTGGACAACAAATATAGGAGAGTCACTTTCACTCTGTCTCTCATACATTAGCACTGGAACACAACATTGGCAAGCAAATATTTATATCCTCACAAAAAAAGTGTCATAGTATTGTGTGTGTTTCAAGGAAATATTTATATTTATTAATGATGAGAGCACCAAGTAAGACATGCATAAGTGAGAAAGTTTGCTGACAAAAATAAGCTGTGCAAAAGTTTATGCGATCGTGAATGCAACTTGTGTTGTGAAACATGACTTTTGTGATATGATTGAAAAGACACTTACATGCTCAACTTTAGAGGTAAGTATGTGAGTCAACCTTGTGTGCTGGTGAGCATGCAGATTAAAAAAACCTTGTTCTTGATTGTGAAAGTCTCTCACATAATATGACATAAGACACACTCATGCTTCCCTCCAATAATGACTTATGTAAATCCTTGATTTTACAAAAGTTTACATTTGACTTCAATTGACCTAGCAGTGTTATTTTAAGTAAAGAGTGGCTTTGGCAGACTCCGAAGGGAGTCTGTTAGTGTTCCATTGCTGATGCATTTAACAGAAGAGAGAGAGGAAATTATGGACATCATCCAGAAAGCAATTTATAAGATTCGTTCTTGCAAGTAACAATCTTTCAATTACAACTACAGAATCTTTTTCCTGACCCATATTTAACTGAAACAGATTCATAAAATGAAACAGCATAATAAGGAAACTAAGTTATTTCCTCTGCTTCTTTCAGCAAAGTTTTGAAGCTTCAGAACTATTTCAAAAGTACTTACACAGATTTAAGACCACTTAACCGCAAAAGGCTGCTCCACAATCCCTTTAGAGAACACACGCGTTAACCCTTTCTGAGGCTTTAAAGACGATTTGTAACAGGAAACAACCTGTTGGAGCCTTTTACAATTCTTTAAGAAGAAAAAAGTTCAACATATTAATCCCTTCCTCCTCAACCACAGCTGTGTGCGCTCAGGTTTCAGCCTAGAGTGATGCCTCTAGTCCAGTCCTCTAAATGTTACTAATGGCCTCTGGCAAAAAGAGGAAAGGATGGAGACAAGATTTCTAATGTAAAACACAAGAGGGAACTTTATTTTTCCCTTTACCATTCCTTTATGATTCATAAAGCAGGGTTTAAAATAGTTTTTGCTTTGGTGTTCACTATTAACAATTGTACTGAACACTTCTACAGAGCTGTATGTCAAGATGACTTACACCAATTACTATCCTAGCAAAACCCCTGTGACATACATACAACATCCCCCATTCTCCAGACAAGGAAAATGAGGAATAGAGGGGATGTGACTCCCCGAAGGGCACACAAGCAGTAACTGTCAGAGCTGAGATTCCAGCTCCTTATTCAGATCACCAGTCTCTCTCAAGGGATTAGCAGAACATACCCAAAAAAGGGAAACTGAGCCCAAAAGCTCTGTTAGGAGGTCCAGTCCAACAAAATGCCATTGTAATACTAGTTGGGAAAGCCAAAAATGCAACCTCAAGCTCAGAGTTCTACAACATAGCCCACTACCCTTTCATCTCTAATACAGACGCATGGCTCACGCAGTCTGCGGCATAGCACGTTTCATCTTCAAAGCAGCATCCAGGGCAACTGAAACCTACTCCATTTAATGCAGATTAGTTTTGGCCTCATGACTCCTGGCAAATTACCATTAAACAGAGTTTGGGCAAGTCTGGTCTACCTTGCCTCATTTTTAAACCATAAGCAGCGAAGTATCGCCAAGGAGGTCTTCAACAAGGAGGGATAGCTCAGTGGTTTGAGCATTGGCCTGCTAAACCCAGGGTTGTGAGTTCAATCCTTGAGGGGGCCACTTAGGGATCTGGGGCAAAAATCAGTGCTTGGTCCTGCTAGTGAAGGTGGGGGGCTGGACTCGATGACCTTTCGAGGTCCCTTCCAGCTCTATGAGATAATATATTGAGATATACCTAACAAAAAACCTTGTCAAAATAGAATGCCAGACTCGTTATGAGAATTTATTTGCCATGGCTATGCCCATATCTGTTTTCTCATGCCTCTCATCCCTCTCCCAATTGTTCTAGGTTTCAGCTCTTCTCTACCAAGGAGCTCAGTCACTCTGTGTTTGGTGGTAGCACTTGAGCCACATTAGGTGGCTCGGTTTTTTGTTCTTGACGCCATTAACAATTGCTTCTGATTTATCTTTTTCCTCAAGGCTTTTTGTAGGATTCTCCACGTCCTCCAACGGATCTAGGATGCTTTCCTGTGTGGCCAGCCCCCCTTCCTCCACCCTGCTTTCTCTTAATTTGTCCCTGGGACTCTGCTTTAAGTGTCTCGATCCAGAAGGCATCAAAAGAGCCTGGGGCCTGATACCCAGGCTCTTGGGAATCTAGCGCCTCTTTGCTCAGCAAGACACATATGGCAGGAATATTTCTCTTCACTGTCAAGGCATCTAGACCAGCCTCAGGGACAATGGGCTCCCAGATCTCTTCGGTCTGTTTGAAGAGCACTTTGGTGATTTGGTGGAGTCCCTTGAGCCGTCGCTTCATGATTTCCACACAAGTGATAGTCTTGCTGATGGCTTTGCCAGAGCCAGTGAAAAGAATCTGCCTAACTGAGTCTGACTCCATCTTGCCGATGGCATAACCCATAAGATTTCTGATTTTGCTGCCATCCTTCACTTTCATCTCGATAATATCTGAAGGCAGGTTGGTGAATGGAAGGGGAGAGGGCTTCTCCACAATCTTGGATTTCTTATAATTCTCCATCATTCACCACTGTAAATGAGAAGAACAGCATCAATGAATATTTCTAATTATGATTCACAAAGGCAACATATCTAAATTCACGGGCTACATTATCTGACTGATAAAAGTTGAGTAGAATCCACACTTTATTCATTTTTGTTACCATACCACCCGAGACCTTGTCATGGACTGGGACCCCATTGTGCTAGATACTATATTCTGACTTCTAGCATGTTCTAGAGCAGCAGTTCTCAGCCAGGTCTCCGTGGGCCACTGGGGGTCCACTAGCCATTTCAGGAGGTCCACCAAACAGGGATGCTCGGAGACCCAAGCCACAGCGGCTGAAGCCTGGATCACCGGTGCCCCAGCAGATGCTCCCCGAGCCACTCCCCAACCCCAAGGGGCAGAAGCCTTGAGCCCCCCATTCCCCGAGGCTCCCAACCCCCCTCCAGTGGCTGAAGCCCAGCTCTCCCCCCCACTGCTATGGAATTTTTATAGTATGTTGGGGGGGCCTCTGAAGGAAAAAGGTTGAGAACCCCTGTTCTAGAGTACCTAGCTGAACTCAATAATCTAAACAGTATCTTAATTCATATTCAACTACTCGTGTTGTGGCAGCACCCAGGGATCTCATTGTGCGAGAGGCTGCAGACTCACAGGAAGACAGTCTCTGCTCTGAAGTTATTTACTCATGCTGCTTAGATTTGCCTGGAAATGATCAGGACAGTTTTAGGCGCCTATAGCTACCATGATATAGAAGAATGCATCCTGAGTAGTAGGCCCAAACATACCAAACGCCTCCATTTCACATAACTCTACTTAAAACTGTTATTTGCCCGATTACATGAACTTCTCCAGTCTAAGATGCTGCCAAGTACTGGAGTTAGAGATTTCAGAGACGATTCTGGAGTTAGAGATGACGACAGTCACACAAAACATTAGTAGGAACAATCTGAAACGTTGAAAAAGTAAATAATAAATGGCAGGCTAGTTTGGATTCAAACATTACTACGCATTATCTGCAATCCAAGCACTGCTTCTGTGTGGCTAGCACATGGGAGCCAGACACTGAACTAACCTGCAGTCCCAAGCATAGAGAAATGGTAAAACTAAACAAATAGAGTCACTGGTGAAATGCAGGAACGAACTCAGGGGAAGGAAGGACTGTTATTTTTACATCAGTGGGACATTTACCACATTTGTGCCCCACGAGGGACTCTGGAACCAGCATAACATGAACCCTGAAGCTATTTCACATCGGAGACAAACAATTCCCGTCCCCAGAATAACCCAAAGCCTGATGATACATGCAGCCCAGAAGAAAGGGAATTTTCCTGAAGGAGGCTGGATGAACTGGAAGGATCAGAGCCCCCTGACTCTAGCCAGTTATGGTACAAGGCCTGGGGTTAGATCTTGGCTGATGTAAAGTATGAAAGTATGGAGGTCTGTTTTTTTGGGGGGAAAAGATATGTCCCCCCTAATGAGAAGGGGGGGGGGGAGTCTCTGCTTAGGGTTTGAGAGGAGGGTTGGGAAACATACAGGAGGACTGGGATGGATAGGAGTGGGTGGGTAAAGATCTCAACTCAGCAGGGTGGGACTGGGTGGATAGATGTAGGTGGAAGATTGGAAAGGAGAGATGTTGGGGATGGGGGAGGGTGTCTGCTCAGGGATGTGCATGGGAAGGATTGGGATGGATAGATATAAGCGATGGGCGCGAGGGATAGGGGAAGGGAGGGTCTCTGCTCAGGGACACGGAGAAGGGAGGAGGGTCTCTGTTCAGAGGTGTGGGGGGATGATACAGGTGAGGTGATCTCTGCTCAAGGGTGTGGGTTAGGATGGATAGATATGGGGGAGAGAGAGGTCTCCGCTCAGTGGTGCAGGGGAATGGATACCGGGGTGGGATAGATGGATACAACAGGTCTCTGCTCAGAAGTGCAGGGGGATGATATGGGGGGAGGGAGGTTTCTGCTCAGGAGTGCGTGGGGGGCGTGGGGGATGGATGGATATGGGGGAGGAGGGTGCCTGCTCAGGGAGTAAGGCAGGATGGATATGGGGCGGGGGAGGTCTATGCTCAGGGGATGAGGGGGAAGATGGGTATGGGAGGAGAGAGATCTCTGCTTAGGGGTGTAGGAAGGGTTAGGATGGATGAATATGGGGGAGGGGGTCTCTGTTCAGGGGCGTGTATGGGGGTTTGGGAATCAGTGGATACAGGGGTCTCTGCTCGGGGAGTCCAAAGGGATGGATATGGGGGGAGGGGGTCTCTGCTTGGGGTGATGGATACAGGGGTGAGAGGAATCTCTGCTTGAGTGTACGGGGATGGAAAC